GGGTCTGCGCATTTTGACCTTTCACCTCCCGGTCCGTGCAGCCTCTGGAGCGGTGCAGCTTTCTGCGCTCCTGTTGGAGCGATGGCTCGGATTATTTAAGATTAAAGTGGTTTGGCGCAGGGGTAAGAATGTTTTTTTTCAGCATCATTTCCAATCGCTATGCAACAGATTTGCATTTATGCACCTGCCTACTCTTATGTCCTCCTGCACTTGCTGGTCTGTTTCTCTCCACGGCTGTCTGCTTATTAGCAGGCATCTGGAATGAGGAGCTGAGGAGCACGATGGGCTGTGGAGTTTCTTCCACTGCTGCCCAGTGTCAGCCCATCGTGACATTGCCTGCAGCGAGCTTGCAATCCTTGACACACACCGTGCATGGGGAAAGAAGCTATACTGTCCCAGTGGTGGTGTGGGTGAATGGCAGCTATAGGGCAGGTTTGTTCCATTAGCAGGAGCACAGGAGTTGGGGCTGTTCAAAGGCATCGAGGCCCCAGTCAAGGCAGCAGGTAGCCTGGCCCTGTTCATCACCCGAGAGAACTATTACCTCAGAGATCTGTGGAGAGAAGGGAGGGAGGAAGCAGAAAATCTGTGGGAAATAGAGGGCATAGGTCAATATCTCAAGAAACTGTGAGAAACATTATCATTTTTAACTAAGAATGTGATTTGCACCAGAAAAAAAAGAAATTGTTGCTATGTAACTGGTACCGTGTCAAAATGTAATGAGATGTGATCATATATACTGTTTTAAGTATGTATATTAATGTAAAGCTTTCTAATTTGTGATGTCCTGAATTTTTTTTTGTGAAAAGAAAATAAAGTTCTTAAAAATCGAAATCAAGCCTCAACCGCCATCTTCATGGCTTTCCAGTTAAACTCACTGCAATAGGCGAAACGGCTGATTTGTGGTTAAGAAAATGATTACCGGCTCATCAGGAAAAATCTTGGCCTGAAATGAATAATGCAAACGATGCATTTGTATCTCTTCAGGCGCAACTGTAATTAAAATTTACAAGAGAAGTTCTTTTTTTTGTCAGCTACCTGTAATCTTGTACACCATGTTCAGGAAGGATATTGACAAAAATGCTGCATCAGCTTGTTCCTGAGGCGAGCTTTCTTATCTGCAGCAGTGGAGTCACTGGAAATAATCAATTTGTTATACTGTATAGCTTTTTGTGAGGACTGAGGTTTGTGCATCAAGGAAAAAAAATAACTTTTTTTGAGGATTGATCCTGTTAAGCAGGGAAGAATTGGTCTAAAGTATTTGCATTTTAAATTGAATCTAACTGTGTTTCCTGTGTGGGGAGGCCTCAGTGAAGTTGAGTGATGATTTTTAGGGTGAGATCCCAAAGTTCAGTGACTGCATGCTGGCTGGGGCGATGCAGTTTAGGGTGCAAAAGGCTGCAAACTATGATTTCTGCTCATTTGTACTGCACTTTGCCTCAGAGAGGCTCCCTAGCGGAAACTGCACCTTTCTCTGTCCTCTAGCTTTCTTTCTCAAAAGCATGGATACGAGTTGCTGCTGCAGCTTCTGATTTCTCTAAGAGGCTACCTGCTTCATGCTACGTGAAGCACAGATAAAACCTTTGACCTTGTCTCCGGAAGAAGAGAGGGACAGGCCTGAGTTTCGTTCTTCCATTTTTACTGTAAACCTGTTCTCTGAGTGTCCCTTTCTTTTTCCTCTTGAGATTTCTCTCCATGAAGGTTTGTGTACATGTTATTCCCCACTACGGAGCAGATATCATTTTTTATTGTTTTCTACTGCAGAGATCATGATTATCCTGTGGTATTCTGCTCTGGAGAGCCAGTCCAAGAATCAAAGCTTTTCACCCTCTCCCATTGACTGCATAAGATGTAGTCTTTTCTTTTATCATGTTTCAAGGGGGGCTTTAAAATCCAGATTACCTGATGTCTTTATCTTTAGATTTTGGCTTCATTTTTGTGTTCTCAGTTGTGCACCACAGGCTGGCCCAGGCTGTCCAATCAGACGTCCACACACCCACAGCCCAGAGTTACAGTAACACTGCTCATCGCTGTCCTTCTCCCTGATGGCTCTTGATTAGCCAGTTAACACACAGTAATGATGGCTTCCCCAGCAAACCTGTCACCCTGCCATTGTCCCACTGTCAGCCGCTTGGAACCACAAGAAAACAGGAGTCATGACATGCTTTTCCAACAGGCTGTTATTCTTCTACTTCTGTTTTTCATTCTTCCTCTCTGCGATCATTGTTAACAATTGTTTCCAAAATGCATACGGGCTTTGGGAGTTATTTAGATGGCTTTGAAATCCAGACTGAAGAAATGTGCACACATTTTGTAGAGGTCAGGGTAGAGAATGACATTGACATGAGACTCAGGACAAGACCGTTCTCGCCACTTTCTCCGATCCAGCAGCACAAATACAGCATCAAAGCTGTAATTTCTACAAGAATAGTGCTGGTTTTGTAGTTAGACAAAAATATGGAAAATGTTGTGATTGTCCTGCTCTCATATTGGCACAGCTGCCTTAGTAACGGAACTATATGATCCTTACCAGAATATACTACAAACAATCCACTCCTGTCATCAATATCACGGTACATGTGTTCAAAAGAAAAGTTAAAACTGCTGTAAACTTTGCGACGTAAGATCGCCATGATAAAGGTATTGGTTTCCAGTCATTTTACTTTGTAATAATAATAATAATTGCTTACACTTATATAGCGCTTTTCTGGACACTCAAAGCGCTTTACAGGTAATGGGGACTCCCCTCCACCACCACCAATGTGCAGCCCCACCTGGATGATGCGACGGCAGCCATAGTGAACCAGTACTCTCACCACACACCAGCTATCAGTGGGGAGGAGAGCAGAGTGATGAAGCCAGTTGTTAGGATTGTTAGGAGGCCATGATTGATAAAGGCCGATGGGAAATTTGGCCAAGACGCCGGGGTACACCCCTACTCTTTTCAAGAAATGCCCTGGGATTTTTAATGACCACAGAGAGTCAGGACCTCGGTTTTACATCTCATCCAAAGGACGGCGGCTGTTTACAGTATAGTGTCCCTGTCACTACACTGGGGCATTAGGACCCACATGAGCCGCAGGGTGAGCGCCCCCTGCTGGCCCCACTAACACCTCTTCCAGCAGCAACCTTAGTTTTTCCCAGGAGGTCTCCCATCCAGGTACTGACCAGGCTCACACCTGCTTAGCTTCAGTGGGTTGCCAGTTGTGAGTTGCAGGGTGATATGGCTGCTGGCTAACTGCTTACAGTACTTATCCCCATGGTAAATCCATGGGTAATTCAGATACAGTGCATGTGTTGTGCTGTTGTGGCGTGTTTAACACAGGCAGTTGAAGCTTGTGGGGTTTAGTGTGAATAGAGAGGATGTAGTGCTAAAGCTGGACTTGGCTGGTTCTGCTATCTCCTGCAGCTTTGCAACCGGGACACTCCTTTGTTAACATTGGGCTAACCCAGTCCACCCTATACTGAAGACCAACCAATGGAAACAAGATCCCCTCAGACGGACTCTCAAATGCACCCACACACGGCCACAGAGCACAGCACCAGCAGCTCGCCCACATTGTGCTGATGGAAGGGGGGTCAGGGAGCTGCACTGTACAGGTACAGGAGAGTCAGTAGCCACTCTGTCCTGAAGTACTGAAGCTAGACTCACCCCGTCCTCAGTGGATCACATTCTCCATTATACTCAACGCAAAGCAACATGAGAGGTCACAGCAAATGGTACAGATAATGAGCCCGTTTCCATTTGCTTGACTTGTTCATTACAAGAGAATATGTGTTTGCTTCACTGCTCTGGAGCTGAAGTTATCTGTAGGTTAAACACATGTCTGGAGGCAAAGTCAAGTGTCACTTGGATGGTTTTTCTTCTCTAAGTGTATTGATGCTCAAGGGCAGGGAATAGAGCACCAGGGGAATGACTCAGAAATCTGGTTTCATGTGCTGTGCACTGTGCATCTTTGGACTTTGCTCACTAACAGACCACAGAACAATTTTAAGGATATGATTTTTCAGGTTCTTTCCTTAAATACTGGAGTTCTTCCAGTGCCGCGAAGATGGGTTGTGATGTGTCACTGTTTGCATGAAGAGAAAAGAGCAGAATTGAAACATAACTGGCGATCAGTCAACAGGAAGTGTTTTTTGTGCTAAAGACGTATCTGTTCGCAAAAGGAATCTAGTCTACCTCACCACGTCCCAACCCTGTGTCATTATTGCAAGCTGTCTGGGCTAATCACTCCAGCAGGTCTCTTCATTAGGTGCTTATCTCTCAGCAAACATCTGTACGATTAACAAGGGCGTCCTGGAGCCAGTGCAGTGGGTATGTGGCACCTCCTGTAGAAATTCATTATCGAGGTCGCTCTCCTGCTGTCACCCTCAGATGGGCCGGCCCTCCTCTACTGGGACACCCCATGGGCCAAGTGCCCTTATTACCCCAGTCGCAACTTCCCAGGGGCAGTACACACTGCGGAATGAATAACTTTCCATGCAAAACAGGCTCATTAATGATGAAGCATCTTAGCAATACTGTGACTAATGATTTTATATTCATGACGCCCCTAGATTTGCTACACTTGTGCATGAGGTTATAACTGACATACTGTACTGTACAGTTTTATTTTTATTCTTGTGGGCTGCTGTCCCCAGATTTTCAGGCCGTAATGTGTCTGAAGAAGCCTGCACAGCCAGTCAGCATTCTGTTTGCTTTGTTTCGTTTTGATTTCATCCATAATGGTTTTTAGGAACTGGGCAGGGTTGTGTGATACAGGTAGGATGCCGTAAACAAATGTGTTTTGCTGGGGAATCAGTTTTGATGTAGTTCATTATATATAATAAATATTAACTTGCAAATCTGATCAGTACGTGCTCAGGTTTGACATATTTAAGGAGAAAAGCAAGAATATATTGTGATGCTGTACTGTGTTCTGAACTATCCTTCAGCTCATAGACCACATTAAATAGAAATTCTTCTTCATAATTTTTAAAGACTTATTTGACTTTTTTTCCAGGGGACATTTCAAGAAGAATCTGAAGCCTGCATACCACAGCTTTTGGTAAGAAAAGCTCCATCTGCAAATTTTTGCTCATTGAAATTGTGAAGACAAACTTGCCCAGCAGTGAGGAATTTCAGATGTCGGCCCATCTAGAATGATGGGTGACCTTTGGTTTTTCCAAATGAGATATCCGTCACCGGTGCTCATTGATGACTTTAATTGAAGAATCTTTTTTAGATATTTGTTAGAAGCTGTTGATGCTCTCAGTCCTCAGTTTCCAAAACACCCTCTACTTCAACCCCCATGACCGGGAACGGTGTAGGTCAGAACAGGACAGGTTATAGAGGCTGTTGAAGCTCCATGTTGGAACAGTTCTCTGTAACTGTATGCAGTCGTGCAGTGATGATTGTATTAAAAGTAAGTGTGGGTGTTGTGGCTGGTCATGGCAGTGAAGTGGCCTAATGTTGATATGTGGGTGTGTCAAACACCTCCTGGACTCCTGAGCTGAAATATTTTTATTTTTCTTACATCGTGACCTTGTATGATAGCTATTCAAAGGACCCTTTTGGCTTCGCCCATGATGACCTGCATACTGAAGTATACCCTCTCTGAAAGGACAGCTGTCTTGGGTTTGTTATAAGTCTGTCGCCAGACAAATGTTCTGGTCTTTTGTGATATTACAGGCTTGTATGAGGAAGACATTTTTCTCTTTTTATCCCTAATAAACTTTGCATTTTGTAACCTGTCTGCTGTAATTCGCTTAAGAATGTTTCAGTTTCTTTTTCAAACAGCAAGCCTCAGAGCTTGCTGTTCCATATCAGTGATGAATGAGTACCTACTGTAGAGTCCTTGGATTTTGTTCTGCGACGCAAATTATAGGCTGTGTGCTAAAGAACAGAGAGCCTGGGGTTTGTGTTGTAATGATATGAGGTATCACATTGCTTGCCGTCAGTTGGAAAAAAAAAATGATTCTAGTTGTCTTTTTAAAGGTGGTGGAGGGTGGGAGGTGGGCATTTGTGTGCATTTCTGTATGAGGCAGCACCCACAGAAAGGCAAGTCCACCGGGGTGTGTAATAATGGTTATCTGGCAGAAGAGTAATAGGACACTATAACAGCGAGGGGGGTGAACAGAGGGTACTATTCGGGGGTCCTCCTGAACCCCCCGCGGACTCTGAACCCTGAACGAGAAGCTGCGAGGCAGACCTGCAGTGCCGGTGTTGACTGGGGAAGAAAGTCTCCTTCTGAGAGCCGGCGTGCGCCAGAGAGGAGCTGTTACTAGGCTGCAGCGGGATGACTGGAGCTGTAACGAGCGCCGGTCCAGCGCGGAGGCCTTGACTGGGGGAGCCTGTTGGGGACCGGAGATGCAAGTCTCGGGGTCGTGGCAAGTGCACGTGCTTCTTAGCGCCCCAGCTGACGAGCATCTGCGCAAAGCCCTGCCGTCTTTTCTGACGTGCGCAATTAAAAATGAATCATGTGGGATTTTTTAGGTCTGGGGCCAACACTTAAAAGTGTTAGAAACGGGAGCCAGGATCAATACTGGTCGGATGAAAGAAGCATTAATTTTTCTCTTTCAAGTTGCATTTAATAATTTCAGTGGTACGGGGATGAAATTTCAGCCAAAATTCCGCCGATCTTAACGAAAAATACAAGTGGGTTTTATAGGCTCAAGTGGGGAGAGGAGCTAATGTCGCAAAAAACCTGATCCCTGGGGAACGGGGTCTGGTTTTTCTTTTTATCATGGCGGCAAGTACAAGCTCAGGAATGAAGGAATGAAAGAATGCTCTGGGCTAGTCAAATTCAGAGTTTTATTTACACTGAAATGCAGCAGTTTTGAAAATGCGAATGCTGTACGGACGTGCGGAAGAGAAGTACAGCAGAGGTGAAAGAGAACGGTGTATGATTTCAGATTAAAGCGGCACGGCCCATGTCCCCCAGGAATGCGCCCAGTGGCATCGCTGTTAAGATAAAATAGATAATCTAGTAAACCTGTTTCTGCCGTTTTAGTCTTCCATTCAAACACAGCGTTAATGCCCAGAACACTTTGCAGATTGATAGTGTTAGTAAGGTTTTGTCAGGAGTGATTTCCGTTCAGAACTGTAGGTCACTGGCTTTGCATCCAGTTCAGTGAAAAACTGAAGGATAAGTCATTTTGTAATTGATGTTGTGTTTTTCCAGACATCTGCTCTACTGACTACTTGAAGGGTATTTAGTTTGGAGCTGTGGAGACAAATCTAAGGGATGCTTCACTTCATACACTCAAGATTAAATGTAAGACCATAAATATAATAATCCTCCAGAACTCTCATAAATTTCCCATCTGTTTTACTGTACAAATGTGCTTTTGTTCATAACACGCATCTTATTTTACATTGAGTGGGCTGCTGAGTGAGTTTGGGTGCCTTGATTATTTTTTTGTCAGCTTAATGAGACTTTTGTTGTTATACAGTAGATGGATTAGTCATTCCTTGACTTTCCTGAATTTCTAGAACTGCTTGCATTGGAATTTTGCTTTCTTTAAAGATGAATTAACAGAGAGATGTTGGATTTTTTTCTCGAAGGGAGGGTTTAACTGGTGGTAATTTATAAAATAGATAGGCAGATAGATAAGTCCCTAGCACCCTGTGTAACCACTGTGACAGCTTTATATGGAATTTTTAAAAAGCACTTTGGTGGTGGAAACTTTTTTTTAACTCCCATCCAGCCATTTTCTAACTTCCCCATCCAATCAGGGTCATGGTTGAGCCGGAGCCTCTCCCAGAAAGCAACAGGCACGAGGTGGGGTACCCCCGGATGGAATGCCAGGAAATCCCAGGACAAACACAGACAAAAACACACTCCCTCACACCAGGGACAGTGCTTCCAGAAGTCAATCAACCTACCAGTGTGTTCTTGGACTGAGGGAGGAAACCGGAGCACCTGGGGAGAACTCGTGAACCCCGAGAACATTCAAACTCCACACAGAGAGCACCCCTGTCTGGAATTGAACCAAGGGCCCCAGCGCTGTGAGGCAGCACTGCTGACCACTGTGCCGCCATGCTGTCCGTTTGTCAGAACAGAAATGAAAAATGAAAAACAATGCCGTGAATGTAAGGAAAATTAACTGATAAAAGACGCACAAACGCATGACTTTTCTGAATCAGAAAGCCTTTCAACACCATTTTGGAGCCACATCAGGAGGTCAACAAGGGAGATGGGTACAGTTGACAAACACACCTCAGGAATCTTCTCTGCCACTGAAATAAAAATCTATAATTTGAAAGAGGCAACAAAACAGGTAACAGGTTACAAAAAAATAGCCAGTGTGCTTTTGAAATATAATATACTTGAGCCTCTCTGTCAAAGTTAAACTGGTATTCTGGGCACTGACAATATTCTACAAGTGATCCATAATATTGAAAAAGAACAAATGTAATTAACCCATCAATAACAGATAGATGGACTGTGGTGGCACTATAAGCAATGGAAGCATAAGATATTCTCTAAATATTGACAGTAGGTGCATCCTGGAATGGAATTCCAAGGGTCTCTGTGCCAAAGAAGCACAGCACAACTCTGCAAAGTTTGTTTCTCTGTGCACCTCATGAGAGAGAGTTAAAGTTGTTGTTTCTTGTTTGTGATCAGAAAGGGAGAAATCCCAATTTGATTTGTCAATGTCTACCTTCAAACTGGAGATTCTAAATAAATCCTTAAACCTCATGGGACTGAGCTCCCTTTACTATCTCAGTCACGTTAGCTTGTGCCTATGGTACCATTAGAAATAAAAACAAAAAATGCTCCTAGATTTCACTATAATATAATCCTGGCCCAACAACACATATGCCTCGACATTGACAAAATTATCATCACCAACACTTTTTTGTGAATCATTGAATGAATCATTTTTGATGCACTTAAATGAGAGAAAATGGGCATTTTGACCATATTGCATACTTCACATGAAAGCATCTCCTACTGTATGTGAGTAAACTGCTTATGAACTGCAAAGGCACAGCATGAAGAGAATAGCCTTTATTCCCATGGTAAGGCAGACAGAAGGTTTTATGAATACCATCCGTTTTCTTCAGAATAATAATAATAATAATAATTGCTTACACTTATATAGCGCTTTTTCTGGACACTCCACTCCAGAATGCCAGCAAGGTTTATGTGCACAATCTACAATACATCTCAGTTGTGGTTTAGTGATGAGGATAAAGTGAAGCTTTGAAAAGTGTGCAAATACAAGTCCTGCAGAGACCAGAAGAAATCAGGTGGAGGATATTTTAAGTGGGCATGCCAAGGAATAATGAAAAGGGAAATTTAATAACTGTGATTAAAAATATTTTAGTTTTTCAGATTTTGAAATGCCACTCTACTAAATACTACATTTTGAAATTGATTTATTTCTGCTCTTGCTTTGATATCTGACAAGAGATGATTGCTGACTCAATAGAAAGCTGAAATAAGTAATTTCCACTGATGTTACACATCAACCCTACTTGTCTGATACCCCCCGAAAACTGTGGCAAACCCAGCTAGCACTGTCATGAGCCAGAGATTTAGGACACAGGCTTTTAATTTATTGGAGCCCATAATCTCCCCAAAAATAGTTTTTGGATTGTCACAGGGGATGGATAGAAAATTATTGTGGCAGGCGTGTAATGACTCACTAGAATTTGAATGGAGTTATTCTGAGAGCAACAGCACAAAGTATTACTTACTGGTTCTGCGATTTGTTCAGCATTTTAATTTAGTTTATGCTGTATTTCAAAACGAACTTCTTCAAGCTTGTGTTATGGATTATAATTAAAGACAAAATGGAGTTAACAGATACATTTGTATTTCTTTTTTAAGATTATGTCCAAATTGCAAATCAGTCAGATCTATTGAGGCTATACTAATAGGTGTGTTGTAAAAGTTCTGATGTTGCCTGCCTTACATGAGGTGTGAGCACTGTCACAGGACCTTCCAGTGTTTGTCAGTGGCTGGCCTGTGCTCCTATAGACGTCTCTCAAACAAGTGTTAGCATTTTTAATGACGCCCATGTTGTTGATGAAGACAAATTTCACGAGACTAAGATG